TCAGAGAGAACATCAGCCTTTGTTTTTTTGAGATTGTCTTATTTCACTTAGCTTCACACTCTCCAGTTCTGTCCATTTATTGGCAAATTTCATTCTTCTTTATGGATGAGTAATATTGCATTATTTATATATACAGCATTTAATTTATCTGTTCGTCTGTTGAAAGGCACCAAGGTTTGTTCCGTAGCTTAGCTATTGTGAACTGAGCTGCTATAAACATTGATGTGCTGATTTAAATCCTTTGGGTATATGACAAGGAGTGGGATAAGTGGATCAAATGGTGGTCCCATTCCAAGTTTTCTGAGGAATTTCTATACTGCTTTCCAGAGTTGTTGCACCAACTTTTAGTCCCATCAGCAATGTATGAATGAATCTCTTCCCCTACCCTCACCAACATTTATTTTTATTTGTATTCTTGATAATTGCCATTCTAACTGTAGTGAGTTGGAATCTAAGTGTGGTTTTAATTTGCATTTCTCTAATTGCTAGAGATGTTGAATATTTTTTCACGTATTTATAGACTACTCATATTTCTTCTTCTGGGAAGTGTCTGTTCAGATTTTTAGCCAATTTATTGTTTGGGTTAATTGTTTTTTTTTGGGGGGGGGTTAAGTTTTTTTAGTTTTTTATATATCCTGGAGATTAGTGCTCTATCTGAGGTGCAGGTAGCAAAGATTTTCTCCCATTCTGTACGCTCTCTCTTCATGTTCTTGATTGTTTCCTTTGCTGTGAAGAAACTTTTTCATTTGATACCATCCCATTTATTGATTCTTGATTTTATGGCTTGTGATTTAGGAGTCTTGTTGAGGAAGTCATTTCCTAGGCTGACACATGGAGAGTTGGGCCTACATTTCATCCTAGTAGGCACAGTGTCTCTGGTCTAACACCTAGGTCTTTGATCCACACTGAGTTGAGTTTTGTGCAAGGCAAGAGATGGGGTTCAAGTTTATTCTATTGCATATGGATTTCTTTTTTTCTTTCTTTGTTTCTTTTTTCTTTCTTTTTTTTTTTTTTTTTTTTTTTTTTTTTTTTTTGTGGTGCTGTGGACTGAACCCAAGGCCTGTGCATGTGAGGCATGCAGTCCACCTAATGAGCTATACTCCCAGCCCCATATGGATTTCTTTATAAAATGGGAGTACTAACATGAATGTTATTCTCATGATATTGTGGGATATCAGATTTAACAAGCAAAAATACAGAATGCCCACTTAAATTTAAATTTCACAAAAGCCTGGAGTGGTAATGAATGTCACATAGTAACACCAAAATATTTTTCAGGGTTTATGTAGGATTCAAATGTAGGTGTGCATCATGTATTTAATCCAGAACCTAGGATATAAATTAATTACTCATTTCTACGATGAAACAAATATGCCATTCGTATAATATGTATTGATACCTTCATGTAAATTCAGTTATTCTTGGATTTTGAATCAGCCTGATCATTTTGGAGTCTTTCAGTAGCTGCCATGATCGAGACATAATAGGTGTCTATGGTTTTCAATTTGAGAGATATACTACACATATATGATGCTCACATGGGTATTCATAACATTAAAGGGTGACATTTGCACCAAAAGGCACATATTCTGCGTGGTTGTGCCCAAGCAGTGTCTGTTTCTGGCTCCACTGCCAGCTCCTATTCTGGAGCTCCKTCCTCCTCTTCCCATCTCCTTGGGGAGCTGAGCTGCAATTAACAGGAAGTGCCATTTTCCCCTTTTCTTAAAGCTCACCCTAGAATGTCAAGAAAGATGAAGACGGCTTTATCTATTTCTTGCATACATTTTTTTCCTGCAAATGACTTTGACTAGAGTTTTGAGTTTCAGATGTATAGATATGTATGACTTTATTTTCTATGACAAATTTTCAAAGATAAATTTACCAGATGAAAGCCAATTACAATGATTTTCATCATTCACATTTAGTTTATGATACTTTGGGTTGAGATCCATCCATATTGGTTAAAGGCGTGTTTCTTGTTTACCTTCACACTCACTTATACAACTCTTGCCAAAGGGCATGATGGGAACATTTTGACCCAGATTTGAGCCAGCATGGGGGTGATAATGACCTTCAGTTCAGGCCAGCTTCTCTTGCTCCTTCCCTTCCCCATTTCTGCTTTCTTTTCCCTTCCCTCCCTCATTTGTCCAATCTTGTATCAACACATATTATCAAAGTACCCAGTCTCTACCCGCCAAGATGTAGCCACTATGCAAAAGTGACATAATTCCCTCACATGCACAGACACAGAGTGAACCAGTGAGAATCAAGTCTGTGGTAAAAACAGCAAGGAAATACAAAGGCCTTTGAGGAAATGTCTGCTGTCCTGTCCTCTTATATCAAGTAGATGTTTGGCTGTGGCTGGGCAGCAGTGGGCACTGCTTCTTTTATGGGCTGGGCTTGTCTTTCTGCCTCTAAAAGAAAATGACATTGTCATTTGCCACCTCAGCCCGAGGAACCACAGGCTAGGGGTGACCACAGCTCCTAGTGCTGCACACACTTCCTGGAGGTGAGGTGAAGGTGGAGCTGGGTGGAGGTGAAAAGGTCAGGTCCAGCAGGACCTGTGGGGTAGCACTTGCTGTGCTGTAACATTGGGCAGAGGATTCTAGACTGGAGAACAGGGTCGTCAAGTGTGTGTACAATGTCGACTCTAGACCCATCGAGGGAAGTAGAGCTGGTGTTGTGGGGAAATTGGGGTGAGAACRGCGTTTCAAATCCAATGGAATGGCAGAGTGGGAAGGAGTAGAGTCATGAGGAGCAGGCTCAGTTCCTGGAGTTGGTGTTAATGGCACTGGTGCATTGTAAAGGGGCCCCAGGGGGTGGTTTGCAGGGACAGAGCCAACACCTAGCAGGGAGAACTGGGCCAGGGAGACGGAGATGGTTGCCATCATTGTGGGGGTCACCACTGCAGAAGGTGACCTTGACAGAGGGTATGGGGGACAGAGCAAGGAGAAGTGTGGGCCAGGGAAGGAAGGGCTTCAGGGAAACAGAAGAGGGTCCTGTAATGCTGCAGGAGGGAATGGGGACCTCAGAGGGTCCTGTTGGGTGACTAGATGCCCAGAGAAAAGGAGAAACAGCAGAGGCCTGGGTCATGGTCCAGCAGATGGACCACACCTTCCTCAGAAGGTTAAGCCCTGTCATTCTGTTAGCTTCCTTTAGCTGCAAAATCAGATAAACAGGGTGCACCAAGTCCATACTACAAGTTTTTAACCAATGATGACTAAATAAGTCAAATTATTAAAGATCTTTTAAAATTGAGTTCTTACTGCAATTGCTTAAGAATTCAAAGCACATATGATATTGACATTTGGGCAGGTTTCTCAGAATGCTAATCCATCAATAAAATAAAGAACAGGCAGCAAGATGTCCTTGTTAAAGTGTTGAATAGGATGGAGTTCTTGCACCAGTCTTACCCTGCCATGCTAAGCTGGAGAGAAAGCAGCATGAGAGTCACAAATGGGGGTCCTCCAGTGGGGTCCCCAGGGCATGTACTAAAATGTCTGCTGCCGAGTCCGTGGCTGCCTCTCTTCTGCCTCCTTGTCCTCCACCCTAATGCTTACTCTCCTGTTTTATCCCATGCACACAAACACAGTCTTTTCTTGGACAGGGACTGTTTTTAATCTTCCTCAAATGAAGCATATGCAAGTACATTCTTTACCTTTTCCAAAAGTAACATACTTAACCAGCTAGTTTGAAGTAAAATTACTTATTACTTATTATAATTGTATATATGACTATGTAGCCTGTTCATAATTAATCAAAAAATGCTTATTTGAAAATTTTCAGATATACATTTTAAGTAAATCCAGGCTAATTCATGTATATGTTCATGCAACTCATGTGCATCTCTCTTTAAATATAAATGACCCAGTCACTAAGGACTTTTCATGGAGACAGGAAAAATAAAAAGTATTTTCTGACCCAAATCTTTTTGAGCCCAAAGTTCTTGATCTTTATTTCTGGTTTTAGAATCACTTCTTATCTTCATTTTGTGTTTAAAAATTAAGAGTTGTGGTGTTTTGAAACTCAGTATCTTGGGTTTTCTTCAATTGTATGTTCTGTTTCATGTACTTAGTGATAGGTCTTGCAGGTGCTTCTAGAAGTCTGGATTTCATCTCTGGGATTCGCAGGCTGGCAGCAGTGGAGGCCACAGCACAGGGCACTAGAGGGAGCCAATGTGGACTAGCAGCCTGTGTCCCCCTGATGTAGGTGCTGTCCACATGATGCCCTCACCAGCAAGTCAGAGGAGCCTGCTCTGCTCTCACAGCCTCTCTGTGCCCTCACCCTGGGTAGTGCTAATGGCCAAGCTCATACATAGTGCACAAAACACTAGTGAGCAGAACGTCTGGGGCCAGGAGGGCTGGGATCTGTCAGAAATGGATGTGCAAGAGTACAGAAAACAGCTAGGAAATCTGAGGTCAAGGAAAGCAACCCAGAGAACAAGAACTAGAGAAGAGGGAGGAGATGAGAGCAGAGAAGGGAGAGAGGCGAGGATGCACTTCCTTATGCAGGAAGGAGGAACGTGCCTCATTCCTTTTCCTACATGTTGGCAGTAGTCAATCATTTTGCCCCTGGTGGGGCAGCAAAGTAAAGTTGGCACTTCTGACACTAGGGATCCAAGATGGCCCCATGATGATTTCTTTCTCCTGATGTTCTCCACAAAGCTTGCTACTGTGATCCACAGCAAGGTTTGACATTCTCTCTGTTCCTGGATTTGCAACTGGATAGGCAGTGGTAGAAGAGCAGTTCTGAGCCCTGGCTGCTCCTCAGCATCATTGCAGAGCCTTTATAGCACGGGTATCCTGGCCACCCATCCAGGCAGCTGACTGTGTGGGTCTGCAGTGGGACCTGGGTATCTGCACTTTTGAAAGATGCTCTGATGGCTTTCCTAGATGGAGAATAATGGCCGAATGCTGTGTATACTCTGCTCAGTACAGCAGACGTAGCTGCGGCTGTGAGACCGCTGACCCCATTTCCCTCCCACCCTGTTGCCTTCACAGATTATGGCACCATTAAAAAAGTGCGTGCGCCGCTGAATCAGTCCTTGGGAAGCTGTTTGCTGGAAGAGATCGAGCTCTTCCCGGAGAGGCGGAGGGAGCCCATCCGGAGCCTGCGGATCCTCCACAGCCAGAGTGTCCTGTTCGTGGGGCTGCGGGAGCATGTAGTCAAGATCCCCCTGAAGAGGTGCCAGTTCCACCGTACACGCAGGTAGGGCTCCCTGGGGGCTGGTGGGTAAGACGGGTTCACTGGGGGAGAGGGCACAGGAGCCAGAAAGGCTTTTAAATTCCTGTGGCCCAATGGCCCCGGGAAGGTAATGTCTGTGTGCAGCCTGCATCCCAGGATGCAGAGTTTTCATGCAATCAGTGCTGAGACTAACACACCAGTTATGTGCGGAAGAGGAGCTGCCATTATTACCATGTCTATGAGCAGTTGCCAGAATAAAAGCAAATGATTCATTGGGTGGAGGCACTCAGTGAAAAAGCTGATATTCGGGGGCCCAGCATTAATCTATTACTCTGGCACAAGGTCTGTTTTATTTGGATATACACGTGCACACCCTGGGCAGAAGCTGATACAATGTGTGTGCTCCCAGGCCAAAGCTCTTCCTCTGAGAAGAAGGGGGGGTGTCGATGCTCCTCACCCTCTTCACAAGACGTCACTCCATATCCTCCTGGGAGCGGCTTCCTTGGTGCTGCCTCCATCCCGAGGCTCCAGCATCATGAAGGCAGACGCAGGGCAGAGAAAGGACGTCCTGCAGCACAGGGGAACCCAGGTGCCCCTGCTCCTGGCCAGCACCCCAGGCCTGCCTTCTCTCCTGTGGGTGTCCCCTGTTGCCCACTATGGTCTTCAAGCTGATTTTGGAAGTAGGTAGGCCCAGGTAGTTAGGAAATGGCAATGAGATGTGCCAAAGATGAACTTAACAGGGACTTCATGTTGAAAGTCGCATATGGACTTTAACCACTGATCAAAGATTGCCTCGGGGATATCACAGTCTGAAAGTCTCTTAGGGATCAGTGCTCGTATTCAATTCCATTTCCCAAAGCAGTGCATGATTTCAGGTTGGGTAGAAATGTTTTCTTTTCTCTGTCATTCACAAGCACCTATGGGTTGTCTAACTAGTGTGCCTGAGGGCAGTGGCTGGGGGACTTTGGGGCTTCCACGCATATTACAGACCTGTCCTTTTTATATCTTGATGCTGGTGCCTAAAGTACTTCAGACCTCCGTTTTCTCACTTATCACATGTGAACTGCTGTAGAGTCAAATGGGATGATACATGTAGTGTAAAATTGAAAGCTCTCTGCAAAGGATTATTTTTATATAGAAGGAAGTTTTTATGTTTGATCCTAATATTCCTTTCAAGATGACTCTGGAAAATTAAATCTATATTATAATGCCTCCTTTGGTATTAGAGACAGAGAATGCTATCAGGATCCTTCTAACAAATAATGATGTTGTTGTGAACATTATGAGGTACTGATACTTGTTAACAACTCTCATTTCTACATGCCTATTCCTGCATGTAACCAATGGCCATAGGAATGTGTTCTAGTAAGTGCTCCCTGCAGGACTGCCCTAGGGCAGGAACTGCCTCCCCAGATGCTGATGATTCTGCAGATGACAGGAAGGGCCATCTCGTTGGCAGGCAGGTTGCAGCCAAATGCAGCTGGTGAGGCAACAGTCTTCCAGGTTCAGCTCCAAGAACTCTTGAGTTCTACTGGTGACTTTGGGGGATAGCATGTTAAGGGCAACACACAGGAAGACCCAGGTCTGTGCTAGAGGGTGCTTTGGGTACCAGAATGGAAATGTGTGGCTTGCACAACAAGAGGCAGTTCACCCTTTTCACATTGCTTTGCTTCATGGAGTCTGGCTTATAACAGCTCAGCTCCTTGTACCAGCAACTAGGRAAGAGAGTTCTGCATCAGATCATGAGGAAGACAACGAGGAAGGCKGGTGCCCTCCTCTCTCCCACCTGCACTGCCAGCAGCCCTGAGACCACAGGGGACTGAGCCACCGGGCACAGAGGCCAGGAAGGCCACAGCTCTTTTCTTTTAAAGAGAATGAGGCCACCTGTATGTCTTCAGTAGGCTCCTGGGCAGAGGGGAGTTCTGCATTTCTCCAGAGCAGAGTCTCTCTGCTGTCCACCTGTCCACTCTCTCAGAAAAGGCAACAGAGCTGAGGACTCCACTGTGAACTGACAGGTTGTGTGGCCTCCATGCAGGTGGGCTTGTTTAACGTTGGTTAAAATCTAGAGGTTCCGAAGCAAGTGTCTCTTGGGATCCCTCTGAATGTGTCTCTTAACTGTCCTCCTCCTGTGAAAAGGCAAGAAAGCCTCCCTAGCCAGAGTCACTGGAGGAGAGAAGTTATTTTTTAAAACACTGGCATCGAGACAATCAGATCTCTTTTCATGAATTACAGGGGAAATCTCTGGTTTTGTTTTTGTTTTTGTTTTTTGACAGACAGTTTTTGTTTTCTGGAACTATGCCCAAATATGTACACTGAATAGAATTGTGTGAATTGTACACTAATTTCTGTGCCAAGTATACTTTTCATAGTCAAATATCAGTAATTTTAGTATTTGAAAATCAATTTTAAAAATGCATTTTTGAAGAATTTAAAAAGAGAAATTGAGCATAACTGAACAATCAGAAGCCTTAAATATGAATATGATTCTTTAAAGGATCCCTTGATGTTTCAAAGGCTGATATTTACATTTTAATTTTTTTTAAATGTCTGTCTGTTAAAGACAGGGTTCAGTGATATTTAGTAAAACATTTATAAATGGTAGCAATTCATAAATTTCATAGGTGTATTCAACCTGTCTGGCACAGTGCAGGATTTTATCTCCATTTTCCTTAGTCACTACACTGAGCCTGAGCGTGAAGAGCCACGTCATTCCCCATCTTTCAGATGAGCAGGTGGCAGACTGGGGCCTGGCATCCTGCCTGGGATCATGCAGCTCCTGCCATGTGAGACCCGGTTCCTCCCGTCTCGTGTGTGTGTGTGTGTGTGTGTGTGTGTGTGTGTGGTTTGCACTGTGTCCTGGTGCAGTGAGACTGTGGCAGGCAGGGTCGGATTGCCTCAGGAGGGGACTGAATGCACCTCCAGGTGTGCTTCCCTGAGTCAGCCGGTCAGGACCAGCCAAGACAGGACTCAGCCACTCAAGAGACTCCTGCTCATCAGCTCTTCTTTTAAAATAACAGTTTTAAAATTGGTGCCTGTGAATTACACAGTGTGGTGGGCATCACTGTGGCCTACCCATATATGCATACAGCATGGAGTGATCCTGTTCCTCTCTCACAGTGCCCTGGCCTCCCTTCCTGCCCCTCAAATACTGCCTCCTCCAACCCATTAGTTGCTTCTTTATTCTGGCCTCAGGCAGATCAAACAAATAAAAAGTGGGTTTCCTGCCTTGTTTTCCTAAAGCATCCTGAGGTGGGTCTCCATCTCCTTGTGGGGAGACCGTGCTTCCTCAGGGGGAGCTGATAAAACACCTGCCTGCCCTGTCCACAGTTTGCACGCCTTTTGACTCAAACATCAGTGTGGTGGCTTCCCCTAGGAAAGTGATTTTAAAGGGACATTATTTTGAAATTATACTTTGGTCAAGTTTGATTACAAAATTTGGGTCAAGAAATACTCGTTTGAATGCTAGCGTCTTTTGGCACAGACCCTTAATAAATAGTATGGGGAAATTGTACACACGATACAGCCCCACTCATGGGAATTGGTGGTTACCTCTGAGAATGGAGTGTAGAGGCTCTCTTACTCCGCACACATATCCTTTTACCCTGGGCCTGATTGACCACAAATATGCATGTCTCATAAAGTGAGTTAGTATCTGCTAACTTTTGAGGAACCTGGCATCTGGCAGGCTTGGCTAGGAAAACAGGATGACTATGGAGGGCAAAGAGCTGACCCCTCTTGAGGACCTGTAAGGAAATAATAAAGGAAGACACAGGGACAAGGTGCAGAGGCAGGGAAGGTGACAGAGTGGCTCTTGGTCTGGTTGGCCACATTTATTTATACCAGTAGGTTACATTAGGTCATTAGTACCATAACCACTTTATTGTTTAGAGTATCAGTAAAGTTGCTTATTCTGCAGTCACATTTCACAGTCACAATATGCAATGTCAGGAGCTTTGTGCAGTTCTCAAAAAAGTCCAGTGTCTATTAGGCAGGCAGATCCAGGAGCACCAGAGCTTGATGAAACATTGTAATTATCTAGCAAACAAGTTCTTTTATTCCCAGGAGCTATGTGCCTCCAATCAAGGTCCAGGCTTGATAAAGTTCTAGCACAGAGGCTTCTTAGGGCATTGCCATTACAGCTAGACATTGCACATATATTAGCTGTATTACTAGATGCTAAGAGAGATTGCAGGGCGTTCTAAGGTGGGAAACAGGGTGCCTGTTACCCCCCGGAGTTTGCTTACCGGGGAACGCTCCCTTATACATTTCTATGATCAGAATCCCTACAAGGACCAAATCCTGGACTCTGGCATGGTGAGGTCTCTGCAGTAGCAGCCTGTGGTCTTTAGAGAGAGAAGAGGTCTCTAGAGGGAGCATGGAATGGAGCACCTGTTAGAACAGCCACTAACCTAATTCCCTCCTGGAGTAAATGCCAAGATGCAGCTCAACCTGTGGCTTAGAGCAAAGAGGCCGGCCGAGATCCGAGTTCCCATTTCACTGCTTCAGGAAGCAAAGAGTGAACAGAAGCATGGGCTCTAATGGTCACGTCTAGAAATCACACTGTTCTTTCCAACCCTCCCAGGAAGTTCTGCAGCCTTCCAAGAGATACGAGGTTTGCAGCCCCTCAAGTTGAAGCCATGGATGGTCGGAGGARTGATGGGAGGGCTCTTGACATAGATATCTAAATTCATTTTAAGGACCGTGCACTGATTGGATCAGTGGCTCAGCAAACTTTCTCTGCAAAGGGAAACACACCATCTTGAGCTTCCCAGGTGCAAGGTCTGTAGCAGCAACTCAACTCTGTCCTGGTGCATGGTCTTGGTGACTGGGCAAGGCTGTGGCTCAGAGAGAGCTGACAGYTCCACAGGCAGGGTGTCAGTGATGTGCTTTTAGGTTCAGATAGTTTATGATTGCACAGACAGCCAAGCAAAGTGCAAGAAGTGTCGGCTGCTCAAGTGCCTTGTCTCAAAGGATGACACCGGAGCAAGAGGAATCCATGGCCATAGGTCTGTTGCTCAGGGAAC